ACCTGGGGGTCACAAGTCTGGCTCCAGACACACCTGGGGGTCACAAGTCTGGCTCCAGACACACCTGGGGTCACAAGTCAGGCTCCAGACACACCTGGGGGTCACAAGTCAGGCTCCAGACACACCTGGGGGTCACAAGTCAGGCTCCAGACACACCTGGGGGTCACAAGTCAGGCTCCAGACACACCTGGGGTCACAAGTCTGGCTCCAGACACACCTGGGGGTCACAAGTCAGGCTCCAGACACACCTGGGGGTCACAAGTCTGGCTCCAGACACACCTGGGGGTCACAAGTCAGGCTCCAGACACACCTGGGGGTCACAAGTCAGGCTCCAGACACACCTGGGGTCACAAGTCAGGCTCCAGACACACCTGGGGGTCACAAGTCAGGCTCCAGACACACCTGGGGGTCACAAGTCAGGCTCCAGACACACCTGGGGGTCACAAGTCAGGCTCCAGACACACCTGGGGGTCACAAGTCAGGCTCCAGACACACCTGGGGGTCACAAGTCAGGCTCCAGACACACCTGGGGGTCACAAGTCAGGCTCCAGACACACCTGGGGGTCACAAGTCTGGCTCCAGACACACCTGGGGGTCACAAGTCTGGCTCCAGACACACCTGGGGGTCACAAGTCTGGCTCCAGACACACCTGGGGGTCACAAGTCAGGCTCCAGACACACCTGGGGGTCACAAGTCAGGCTCCAGACACATCTGGGGGTCACAAGTCAGGCTCCAGACACACCTGGGGGTCACAAGTCAGGCTCCAGACACACCTGGGGGTCACAAGTCAGGCTCCAGACACACCTGGGGGTCACAAGTCAGGCTCCAGACACAGTCTTGCTCCAGGGGGTCACAAGTCAGGCTCCAGACACACCTGGGGGTCACAAGTCAGGCTCCAGACACACCTGGGGGTCACAAGTCAGGCTCCAGACACACCTGGGGGTCACAAGTCAGGCTCCAGACACACCTGGGGGTCACAAGTCAGGCTCCAGACACACCTGGGGGTCACAAGTCAGGCTCCAGACACACCTGGGGGTCACAAGTCTGGCTCCAGACACACCTGGGGGTCACAAGTCAGGCTCCAGACACACCTGGGGGTCACAAGTCAGGCTCCAGACACACCTGGGGGTCACAAGGCTCCAGACACACCTGGGGGTCACAAGTCAGGCTCCAGACACACCTGGGGGTCACAAGTCAGGCTCCAGACACACCTGGGGGTCACAAGTCAGGCTCCAGACACACCTGGGGGTCACAAGTCAGGCTCCAGACACACCTGGGGGTCACAAGGCTCCAGACACACCTGGGGGTCACAAGGCTCCAGACACACCTGGGGGTCACAAGTCAGGCTCCAGACACACCTGGGGGTCACAAGTCAGGCTCCAGACACACCTGGGGGTCACAAGTCAGGCTCCAGACACACCTGGGGGTCACAAGTCAGGCTCCAGACACATCTGGGGGTCACAAGTCAGGCTCCAGACACACCTGGGGGTCACAAGTCAGGCTCCAGACACACCTGGGGGTCACAAGTCAGGCTCCAGACACACCTGGGGGTCACAAGTCAGGCTCCAGACACACCTGGGGGTCACAAGTCAGGCTCCAGACACACCTGGGGGTCACAAGTCAGGCTCCAGACACACCTGGGGGTCACAAGTCAGGCTCCAGACACACCTGGGGGTCCAGACAAGTCAAGGCTCCAGACACACCTGGGGGTCACAAGTCAGGCTCCAGACACACCTGGGGGTCACAAGTCAGGCTCCAGACACACCTGGGGGTCAGACAAGTCAGGCTCCAGACACACCTGGGGGTCACAAGTCAGGCTCCAGACACACCTGGGGTCACAAGTCAGGCTCCAGACACAGTCCTCCAGGGGGTCACAAGTCAGGCTCCAGACACACCTTGGGGTCACAAGTCTTGCTCCAGACACACCTGGGGGTCACAAGTCAGGCTCCAGACACACCTGGGGGTCACAAGTCTTGCTCCAGACACACCTGGGGTCACAAGCCAGGCTCCAGACACACCTTGGGGTCACAAGTCTTGCTCCAGACACACCTGGGGTCACAAGCCAGGCTCCAGACACACCTGGGGGTCACAAGTCTTGCTCCAGACACACCTGGGGGTCACAAGTCAGGCTCCAGACACACCTTGGGGTCACAAGTCTTGCTCCAGACACACCTGGGGGTCACAAGTCAGGCTCCAGACACACCTGGGGGTCACAAGTCTGGCTCCAGACACACCTGGGAGTCACAGGTCTTGCTCCAGACACACCTGGGGTCTCAATTCAGGCTCCAGACACACCTGGGGTCACAAGTCAGGCTCCAGACACACCTGAGAGTCTCAAGTCTGGCTCCAGACACACCTGGGAGTCTCAAGTCTGGCTCCAGACACACCTGAGAGTCTCAAGTCAGGCTCCAGACACACCTGGGGGTCTCAAGTCTGGCTCCAGACACACCTGGGGGTCACAGGTCTTGCTCCAGACACACCTGGGGGTCTCAAGTCTGGCTCCAGACACACCTGGGGGTCACAGGTCTTGCTCCAGACACACCTGGGGGTCACAAGTCAGGCTCCAGACACACCTGGGGTCACAAGTCAGGCTCCAGACACATCTGGGGGTCACAAGTCTTGCTCCAGACACACCTGGGGGTCACAGGTCTTGCTCCAGACACACCTGGGGGTCTCAAGTCAGGCTCCAGACACACCTGGGGTCACAAGTCAGGCTCCAGACACACCTTGGGTCACAAGTCAGGCTCCAGACACACCTGGGGGTCACAGGTCTTGCTCCAGACACACCTGGGGGTCACAAGTCAGGCTCCAGACACACCTGGGGTCACTAGTCAGGCTCCAGACACATCTGGGGGTCACAAGTCTTGCTCCAGACACACCTGGGGGTCACAGGTCTTGCTCCAGACACACCTGGGGGTCTCAAGTCAGGCTCCAGACACACCTGGGGTCACAAGTCAGGCTCCAGACACACCTGGGGTCACAAGTCAGGCTCCAGACACACCTGGGGGTCTCAAGTCAGGCTCCAGACACACCTGGGGGTCACAAGTCAGGCTCCAGACACACCTGGGGTCACAAGTCAGGCTCCAGACACACCTGGGGGTCTCAAGTCAGGCTCCAGACACACCTGGGGTCACAAGTCAGGCTCCAGACACACCTGGGGGTCTCAAGTCAGGCTCCAGACACACCTGGGGTCACAAGTCAGGCTCCAGATACACCTGGGAGTCTCAAGTCTGGCTCCAGACACACCTGGGGGTCTCAAGTCAGGCTCCAGACACACCTGGGGGTCTCAAGTCAGGCTCCAGACACACCTAGAGCGGTCTCAAGTCACTATTGGAACGTCCATGGCGCTGCAAGAGGATAATATCCAGTCGGCATTGCGTGTGCCTGTTGCGAGTCGTCCAGGGGCGCAGGTTCGATCCCATCACAGCACCACAATACATTCCCAAAGAGGCATCACCTCCCTGTGTTTCAATTTAAACATATTTGTCGAATACTTTGACATGCCTGAAATCCTCTGAAAAGGAAAAATGGAGATTTTGCATTTAGTTCCTTTATCAATAATAATATATTGGAGTGTTATTGACACATATGATCCCAAGCATCGCGGCACTTCTGACTGTGTGTTCATGCTGAATTAGACAAGTTTAACACTGTCAGAATGTGACTTATTCTCTTGGAGCTGGTGTAAAGCGTCCTCCCTTAAGGAGGAGGTGGTGGCAAAGATGGCGTCGAGGGAGTGTCATATGGGGTCAAAACTGGCACTGGCACTAGTGTCACATTAGCCTCCACACCTGGCATTAGTCCCCCCTCCACCCCTCAGCTCAGGCCCCCACAGTGGACTGTTCAAACACAGATCAGCCCCCACAGCAGAGGCATCGTCGGCTCTGCTGGCCTCCTCACTATTTGTGTTTAGTGTCCTGATAAATTTGTGATTTAATCCATGTGCTGATCAAACGGGGGGAGGGGGGGGGGCTATATGGAAATTCAGGTCTGGTGTGTTATTTCCTCGAGATACCGCTGGGGTTCGAACCCTGAAGGTTCAAGTGATTTGGGTGGGGGGGGGAAACGTTTTTTCGCTCCGATCTTATATCCCAGCTCCTTGGTCTCATATCCCAGCTCCTTGTCCCCATATCCCAGCTCCTTGGCCATATATCCCAGCTCCTTGTCCCCATATCCCAGCTCCTTGGCCATATATCCCAGCTCCTTGTCCCCATATCCCAGCTCCTTGGCCATATATCCCAGCTCCTTGTCCCCATATCCCAGCTCCTTGGCCATATATCCCAGCTCCTTGTCCCCATATCCCAGCTCCTTGGCCTCATATCCCAGCTCCTTATCCCCATATCCCAGGTCCTTGTCCCCATATCCCAGCTCCTTGTCCCCATATCCCAGCTCCTTGTCCCCATATCCCAGCTCCTTGGCCTCATATCCCAGGTCCTTGTCCCCATATCCCAGCTCCTTGTCCCCATCTCACCTGGTGTTGTGTTGTCACAGTCTTGGTGGTGTGAGATCCATCCCCCTGTGTGTGTGTGTGTGTGTGTGTGTGTGTGTGTGTGTGTGTGTGTGTGTGTGTGTGTGTGTGTGTGTGTGTGTGTGTGTGTGGCTTCAACGTCTCGGGATAGGAACCCCTTCATGAATATTTTGTCCACTTTCCCTCTCCCTTTCCATCCGTCTCTTTTTTATTCTCTTCCCCCCCTCTCTCCCTTCCCCTTTCTCCTCTCCTCTTCCCGCTTCCCATCCCTACACATCCCTAAAGTTTCCTTCCTTCCCATAAACAAACTCGTAAATCAGCAAAGGCGTTTGGGTATGAAGGGTAATTAATATAAATATAAATATATTAAGTTTAGCGTGATTAGCGCATACAGTTTCCTATATTAAATAATAATAATAATAATAATAATAATAATATTACTGCTAGTAATAATAATAGGAATTGAGGGTCGAGTTATATAGTATGGGGAAAAAATGTTAATGGGGGGTAGCGTTGGTGCTCAGTTACTGGTCACTGTTTTCTTTGAGTCCTGACCTGTCTCTGCTGGGCCATTAGTGTAACGACGCAGACACCAATCCTCCCTCGCGCATGACATGGGGCCCACACGAACTGGCGTCCGCAGTCATGCACCACCTGAGTGGTGGCTGGGCGATCATGCACAACCTGAGTGGAGGCTGGGCGAGCATGCACCACCTGAGTGGAGGCTGGGCGAGCATGCACCACCTGAGTGGAGGCTGGGCGAGCATGCACCACCTGAGTGGAGGCTGGGCGAGCATGCACCACCTGAGTGGAGGCTGGGCGAGCATGCACCACCTGAGTGGTGGCTGGGCGAGCATGCACCACCTGAGTGGAGGCTGGGCGGGCATGCACCACCTGAGTGGTGGCTGGGCGAGCATGCACCACCTGAGTGGTGGCTGGGCGAGCATGCACCACCTGAGTGGAGGCTGGGCGAGCATGCACCACCTGAGTGGTGGCTGGGCGAGCATGCACCACCTGAGTGGTGGCTGGGCGAGCATGCACCACCTGAGTGGAGGCTGGGCGAGCATGCACCACCTGAGTGGTGGCTGGGCGAGCATGCACCACCTGAGTGGAGGCTGGGCGAGCATGCACCACCTGAGTGGAGGCTGGGCGAGCATGCACCACCTGAGTGGAGGCTGGGCGAACATGCACCACCTGAGTGGAGGCTGGGCGGGCATGCACCACCTGAGTGGAGGCTGGGCGAACATGCACCACCTGAGTGGAGGCTGGGCGGGCATGCACCACCTGAGTGGTGGCTGGGCGAGCATGCACCACCTGAGTGGAGGCTGGGCGAGCATGCACCACCTGAGTGGTGGCTGGGCGAGTATGCACATTATCCATGCAGGAAAGTTGGGTGTGTCATCACATTGATCATGTAAGTCATTTTCAGCACTGTTTCTGTCCTCTCTCCTTCAGCTTTATGTTGACAATTGATGTTACTAGCTGATCAGTGCTGTAACCTGATTGGCCTAATGAATTCTGAACCCATTATTTGGCTCTGTACCCCATTATGTGGCTCTGTACCCCATTATGTGGCTCTGTACCCCATTATGTGGCTCTGTACCCCATTATGTGGCTCTGTACCCCATTATGTGGCTCTGTACCCCATTATGTGGCTCTGTACCCCATTATGTGGCTCTGTACCCCATTATATGGCTCTGTACCCCCATTATGTGGCTCTGTACCCCATTATGTGGCTCTGTGCCCCATTATGTGGCTCTGTACCCCATTATGTGGCTCTGTACCCCATTATGTGGCTCTGTACCCCATTATGTGGCTCTATACCCCATTATGTGGCTCTGTACCCCATTATGTGGCTCTGTACCCCATTATGTGGCTCTGTACCCCATTATGTGGCTCTGTACCCCATTATGTGGCTCTGTACCCCATTATGTGGCTCTGTACCCCATTATGTGGCTCTGTACCCCATTATGTGGCTCTGTGCCCCATTATGTGGCTCTGTACCCCCATTATGTGGCTCTGTACCCCATTATGTGGCTCTGTACCCCATTATGTGGCTCTGTACCCCATTATGTGGCTCTGTACCCCCATTATGTGGCTCTGTACCCCATTATGTGGCTCTGTACCCCATTATGTGGCTCTGTACCCCATTATGTGGCTCTGTATCCCCATTATGTGGCTCTGTACCCCATTATGTGGCTCTGTACCCCATTATGTGGCTCTGTACCCCATTATGTGGCTCTGTACCCCATTATGTGGCTCTGTGCCCCATTATATGGCTCTGTACCCCCCATTATGTGGCTCTGTACCCCATTATGTGGCTCTCTACCCCATTATGTGGCTCTGTACCCCATTATATGGCTCTGTACCCCATTATGTGGCTCTGTACCCCATTATGTGGCTCTGTACCCCATTATGTGGCTCTGTGCACCATTATGTGGCTCTGTACCCCCATTATGTGGCTCTGTACCCCATTATGTGGCTCTGTACCCCATTATGTGGCTCTGTACCCCATTATGTGGCTCTGTACCCCCATTATGTGGCTCTGTACCCCATTATGTGGCTCTGTACCCCATTATGTGGCTCTGTACCCCATTATGTGGCTCTGTACCCCCATTATGTGGCTCTGTACCCCATTATGTGGCTCTGTACCCCATTATGTGGCTCTGTACCCCATTATGTGGCTCTGTACCCCATTATGTGGCTCTGTGCCCCATTATATGGCTCTGTACCCCCATTATGTGGCTCTGTGCCCCATTATGTGGCTCTGTACCCCATTATGTGGCTCTGTGCCCCATTATATGGCTCTGTACCCCCATTATGTGGCTCTGTACCCCATTATGTGGCTCTGTGCCCCATTATATGGCTCTGTACCCCCATTATGTGGCTCTGTACCCCATTATGTGGCTCTTGTCGCAGAGCTTGGCACCCCCTTGTCACCAGGTGGCACTATTCACCACTGGGAGATGCACCTCAGTCTACCCACGGGGCAGGGTTCCTCCCTCCGAGCCCGGCCTGGCCCCCGGCAGGGAGTGAGAGAGCTCGACCACTCCCTATAATCCCCCTGACATGGGTGCCCGGAGACACGGGCCTCGACGGCTACTGAGGTCCAGCTGCCCGACATAAAATTTCGTCAAGGAAGTCGCTACCTCAGCTCGCCTCACATCGCGTCCGAGTACTACTCTAAAGTCAGCGGTAATTGTGTCTCCCAGTCCAGCACTCTTAGTTATCTTGAGGTTATCTTGAGATGATTTCGGGGCTTTAGTGTCCCCGCGGCCCGGTCCTCGACCAGGCCTCCACCCCTAGGAAGCAGCCCGTGACAGCTGACTAACACCCAGGTACCTATTTTACTGCTAGGTAACAGGGGCATAGGGTGAAAGAAACTCTGCCCATTGTTTCTCGCCGGCGTCTGGGATCGAACCCAGGACCACAGGATCACAAGTCCAGCGTGCTGTCCGCTCGGCCGACCGGCTCAGTGTCCCTTCATGACAACACATGGAGAGAAGAATGGTGGGCTAGGGGGGGGGGGAATAAACACATGTAAAGTCGATGGGTTTACTTGAAGGTAATTTACACTGGCCGTCGGAGCCCAATCACTGCAGCTGCTCATGTCAATAATCACTGATACATATATTTATGACAGTGCTGTCAATGCCAAAGTTACTCCATCAAAATATTCGAGTAACACATTAATTTCTTATAACACCTTCCCTAACCAAAAGGGAAATGGGAGGGCAAGTTTATCTACCTGACATGGCGTTACTGCAGCTCGTAGATCCTGCGCCAGGTAGCTCCTCGTAGAATGTAACTGCAGTTCGTAGATTCGGCGTCAGATAGCTCCTCGTAGATACACGACGGGCGGACGATCCTCTCATTTGTCGTCGGGTTCCGCGTCTCACCAGGTGTGCCCAACTCGACGACAGGTCCAGACAGCTGCTGATTGTCTTGCCCAGACCAACATACTTAGTAAACTGGTCCTCTGAACAAACGATGGATGATTATCTGAAGACCAGGACTGCTACCGACTTCGGCTCCACACAGCTTGCAACATACGCAAGGCACTCAGGCACAAGCACTCAGGCACAAGGCACTCAGCACAACTAGTAGTAAACACGCAGGCCGCAGGAATGTCCAACACTGCTCCCAGCACCGCGTCAACAAGTTGCTTAAGACACTGCCGTCACCGCCCCTAGTGTCCTCCTCACACCAATGACCTCTGCTACACTACTCCTGCTGGGGTCGACAGGTCTTCCTCCTCGTTGGTACACGTTCGCCGTCTGAGTTACATCCTTCTGGAGGCCTAAAAATATCCCAAAAGGGTGAGCACATGAGCTCACTTCCACTCAGCTCAACACCCCAGTAACCAGTGATCTCATATTTCCCACTTATCACGGGGCGGTAAGCCATGTTGTCCTGCTGCTTGGATATGTTGTCCTGTGATTAACACACACACACACACACACACACACACACACACACACACACACACACACAGATTGTGTGAGAAGATTGTGCGAAGAAAGCTAATGGAACATCTGGAGCGAAAGAACTTTGTAACACAGCACCAACATGGGTTCAGGGATGGCAGGTCCTGCCTCACAGGGTTACTTGAATTCTACGACCAGGCAATAAAAATCAGGCAAGAAAGAGAAGGGTGGGCAGACTGCATATTTTTGGATTGCCAGAAAGCCTTTGACACAGTACCACACAAAAGGCTAGTGAAAAAGCTGGAGATGCAGGCTGGAGTGAAAGGGAAGGCACTCCATTGGATAAGGGAGTACCTAAACAACAGGAGACAGCGAGTCATTGTGAGGGGTGAGGTCTCAGACCGGCGAGACGTCACAAGTGGAGTCCCGCAGGGGTCAGTCCTTGGACCTATACTGTTTCTGATATATGTGAACGATCTCCCAGAGGGCATAGAATCGTTCCTCTCATTGTTTGCCGACGATGCAAAAATTATGAGGAGGATTGAAACAGAGGATGATAGTAGGAGGCTACAAGATGACCTGGATAGACTGAGTGAATGGTCCAGCAAATGGCTGTTGAAGTTCAACCCGAGTAAATGCAAAGTAATGAAACTAGGCAGTGGAAACAGGAGGCAAGGCACAGAATACAGAATAGGAGATGAAGTACTTAATGAAACGGACAGAGAGAAAGATCTAGGAGTTGATATCACACCAAACTTGTCTCCTGAAGCCCACATAAAGAGAATAACGTCTGCGGCATATGCGAGGCTGGCTAACATCAGAACGGCGTTCAGGAACCTGTGTAAGGAATCATTCAGAATCTTGTACACCACATATGTAAGACCAATCCTGGAGTATGCGGCCCCAGCATGGAGCCCGTATTTTGTCAAGCACAAGACGAAGCTGGAAAAAGTTCAGAGGTATGCCACTAGACTAGTCCCAGAACTAAGAGGCATGAGTTATGAGGAAAGGCTGCGGGAAATTCATCTGATGACACTGGCAGACAGAAGAGAAAGGGGAGACATGATCACTACCTACTAAATTCTCAGAGGAATTGGCATGGTAGATAACGGTAAACTGTTTAATACGGGTGGTACGCGAACAAGGGGACACAGGTGGAAACCGAGTACCCACATGAGCCACAGGGACGTTAGAAGGAACTTTTTCAGTGTCAGAGTAGTTAGTAAATGGAATGCATTAGGCAGTGATATGGTGGAGGCTGACTCCATACACAGTTTCAAGTGTAGATATGATAGAGCCCAGTAGGCTCAGGAACCTGTACACCAGTTGATTGACAGTTGAGAGGCGGGACCAAAGAGCCAGAGCCCAACCCCCGCAAGCACAATTAGGTGAGTACAGACATTCGCAGCCTTCCACAGGAGCCTATAGCAACTTAGGTCCCACGGCGTTATGTATATTTGATGTAAATAATTCAGCTGGAGAAGACGAGGCCAGCAGGAGAGGAGAAGAACGGCACACACACACACACACACACACACACACACACACACACACACACACAAACACAGACACACACACACACACACACACACAAACAAACACACACACAAACACACACACAAACATTATACAGAAACACTAATCAAAGAAAAACACTGTATGGCATGGGGGGGGGGGGCTTAAATGTCCACTGGACAAAATTATTTTTTTCAATTGCCACCCATTGGCTGCCTGGCGGCCAGCTGGACGAAACCAGGTCGTACTTCGCGGCCAGGGGGTCGTACTTCGCTGCCAGGGGGTCGTACTTCGCGGCCAGGGGGTCGTATTTCGCGGCCAGGGGGTCGTACTTCGCGGCCAGGGGGTCGTACTTCGCGGCCAGGGGGTCGTACTTCGCGGCCAGGGGGTCGTACTTCGCGGCCAGGGGGTCGTACTTCGCGGCCAGGGGGTCGTACT